CTTGCACAAACCACACATATTTATTTGTTCACTAAAATTTTTTGAAAAGAATTAAGGGAGCATACGTGTGCCAAGAATTACTCTTTGTTGGCATCAAATACTTATTAATTTTAGTATTAATGAGATATTAGAGGAGACACATATTTTCCTGAAGAAATTGATACTTCTTATCTATTCATTTTTTGTGTTTTTAAAAGTGGAGTTTGGTTCAATTGCTTACTATTAGAATTTTCTAATGGTAAAGTGTAACATTTGACATAAATGAACAATTTTTAGTCAATACTTCAATCTGTTTTGCATTTTGGTTTCTAACCTCATATTTGACAATAGAATTAGAATTAGAATATCTGCTATAGTTGATAATTAGAATATCTGCTATAGTTAATATTTTCTAGGCACTAGGCTAAACCTTTTCCCTGATTTATCCCGTAATCTGATATCATTAATTTCATTTTTACAGGAGAGCAATTGAGATATTAACCAACTCACTCTTAACATCACATAGCTTGAAATAGAAAGGGCAAATCACAGAACGTCTGATTTTAGCTCTCATTAGTGGACTTAATATGGATGTCACTTGTCATACTAGAAATATTAAAATAAAGAACTTCAATATTTGGAAATAGGACTATTGTGGCATTAAAATACTCAAATAATATAATAAAAAGTAAAGTATAAAGAAATCTTCAAAAGTGAGGAACGATTTAATAATGAATGAAAGGGGAAGCAAGATTATAGATTTGTTAAGTGATAGCTACTTGCTGAATGATAGATGTTCTGTACTTTCTGGACAAAGAGCTACTTGCAGGTTAAAGAATAACCAGCCTTTATGGACATGGACTTGGATTTAGATGAAAAAAAATTTAGAGCAGCTCTGAACCTGATTCATTCTTAAGCTGACAGAGTAATCCTGGTATACAGATGTTTTAAGTTTTTCTTCTAAGTAGTTAGTGTCTAGGAAGGGGAAAACATGCTCAAATCCATGTCATTCTACCCTCTAGATTAGGCCTATGTGTTTGGCAGATAATAGCTCAAAGCCTAATTACATAGCTATTAGAGGTCAGTCGACAATCTCAAATATCTGGCCACATTCAGTGGATCTTTAGTATCAACAACTTTGCAGCATGCTCCATTCTCTGACCTTTTTTTAACCATTTTCTAAATCCCCTTCCTCCATTGCCTACTCTATTATACACTCATAAAATGTCCATTTCTCAATATCTAGCGTATCAGCACTGTGTTCTGCTTCTAAATTATTACAGTGGAGCTAGAGCTTTTGCAGAAAAACTGAGCAAAATAAAATGATTTTTTTTTTATTGCCCCGAGGGAGCAGTTCTGTTTGGGATATTTGTGGAAGAAACCCCATGGATTTACATTTATGAGATTATGTCTGATAAGAGCCATTATAATCTCTTATCACCATAAGAATACCAGTATTTTATGTCAAGTAGAAGTAAGATGCTTATTCCTAGTGGGACATATTTATACCAAAATTATTTCATGGGCTGTGTGTGTGTGTGTGTAGAGGTATTGGTTCATGAAAGAGTATTAAGTGGCTGCCTTACTATCTCAATGCAATAATTTCTTGTTTGCAGAAATGAAAATGCTCTCATTTCTTTTTCTTTTTATTGGGACCCTGATAGAAAGAAAACTAGAGATGGAGATAGACGAGCATAGAGAGAGGAATTGCAGGGATTGGGGAATGATTTCATCTGAGAACACTGATTGACATAGTGATCATGTGCCCCAGGTCATAAATGATGCTAAGTTAAAATCAGTTTTTGCTTCCTGAAATTCTTGAATTATTCATATAACCAGGCAAAGAAATAAGGAGGGCTTCCTCTACAGTGTTAAGAAGAAAAAGAAGGAATTAACTGAGGTTCATGGGAAAAAAAAAAAAAAACACTAACCAAAGTAGTGTTGAAAGAATGAGAAAATCACCTGCTATCCAAGTGATGTACACAAATCCAGTATTGGGTGTTCCACTGAAGAAAGTATGTTTGCTTTGGAAAATATTCTCACATCATGCACTGCCCTTATCAGCTGTCTTCCCCATGAAGGGTCCTTCTGCTGGATATCCTATTTCCAAAGTACTCGGAGATGAAAAAAAAAATCAGATCATGATCACATCTTTATTATAATATTCTTTTTTAGGAATTTATGAATGACAAAATCATTAGAACACTGAGAGATTTTGTGCATGGGTTTTGTTTTATCCTTATCAATTAGGCTTAATAGTTAGGAAAAGTAAATTAGTGATGCATAGACCATTTGGTTTTGAAAAAGTCACTCCTGCCTGGTGTCTTTAGCTCTCAAGCCAGGCTTCTCAGTGGGACATAAGTATCAAAATTTTGGCGGGGGGAAGAATTTCACAATTCACATTGTTCTATCCTCTTAATTTTGGTATTGTGAAAATCTTCAAGTCAAACAAGACAGGAGCATAACAATGCTAAACAAATTTGGCTATCACTCCTAGGAGGAGCCACAATCCAACCTAGGGAACAATGGATGTCTCAGTCAGAGATTCTTAGAAAGAATTTTTATCCCCATTCCTCCTCCCTTATCCTCCCAACCCCCTGCCCTATCTAGAGTTCTTCTAATCCTGCCATGCTCCTCCTCCCTACCCCACTATGAATCAGCCTCCTTATCTCAGAGAAAACATTCAGCATTTGGTTTTTTGGGATTGGCTAACTTCACTTAGCATTATCTTCTCTAACTCCATCCATTTACCTGAAAAAGCCATGATTTTATTCTCTTATTGCTGAGTGATATTCCACTATGTATATATACCACATTTTCTTTATCCATTCATCTACTGAAGGACATCTAGGTTGGTTCCACCCTTTACCTATTGAGAATTGCGCTGCAATAAACATTGATGTGGCTGTGTCCCTGCAGTAGGCTGTTTTGAAGTCCTTTGGGTATAGACCCAGGAGTGGATAGCTGGGTCAAAAGGTGGTTTCATTCCCAGTTTTCCATACTGCTTTCCATATTGACTGCACCATTTTGCAGTTCCAGCAGCAATGTATACGTGTGGCTTTTCCCCCACATCCTCACCAACACTTATTGTTGCAGTATTCTTGATGACTGCCATTCTGACTGGAGTGCAATGAGATCTTAGAGTAGTTTTGATTTGCATTTCTCTAATTGATAGAGACATTGAACTTTTTTTATATATATTTGTTGATTGAGTGTATATCATCTGTGAATTGTCTGTTCAATTCCTTGGCCCAGTTATTGACTGGGTTATTTGGTTTTTTGGTGTTTAGCTTTTTGAGTTCTTTATATACCCTAAAGATTAGAGCTCTATCTGATGTGCAAGTGGTAAAAATTTGCTCCCAAGCTGTCTCTCTATTTACCTCACTGATTGTTTCTTTTGCTGAAATGAAACTTATTAGTTGAATCCACCCCATTTATTGATTCTTGATTTTAATTCTTGCACTATAGGAGTCTTATTAAGCGAGTAGGGGCCTAATCCAATATGATGGCTATTTGGGCCTACTTTTGCATTAACAAAACAGCATGGTATTGGCACCAAAATAGACTGGTAGACCAATGGTACAGAATAGAGGACACAGAGACTAACTTACAGATAATTACAGTTATCTTATATTAGAAAATATGCCAAAATCATACATTGGAGAAAAGATAGCCTGTTCAACAAACGGTGCTGGGAAAACTGGAAATCCATATACAAGAAAATAAATTTAAACCTGTATCTCTCACCATGCACAAAACTCAACTCAAAGTGGATCAAGGACCTAGGAATTAATAGATCTTTAATAAAGTTCATTTTTCTTTAAACAATCTTTAACAAAGAACATGTTTTATCTTCAGGTTTTTAAAGCTGGCATTTAGTACCAAACTATGTGAAGAACCATGAGACACCTTGTATTCTCAGAAAGCTATAAGACATTCTTTTTTTCTTTTAACCATACTAGGAATTGAACATACAGTCTCATGCAAGCTGGGCACTCTTTTATACATATTGTTAAGTGTTATAAATAAATTTTAACCATAGCATCAAATATCTGTTGATCTTTGTTAAAGACCATTTAAAGAAAGTGATCTTTAATTGTTCATTTGATTTTCAACACCCTACAATGACTTTAATCTCAGGGGTCATTTTAAAATTTTATTTAGCAAGGCATTGACCGGGGTTTTTTCTTTACTCCAGAGGCCTTGATAAACATTTTTGACATAAGCTGAGCTACCTCAATTGGAAACTCACATCTCATGCAACAACAGACTGTTTTAATTTTATGAAGTAAAGGATTGGCTTTTATTTGCAAATAGCATCAAAGAAAGCAATATTATCAAAAGAAGTGGCCTGATAGATCAAGAGATAAATTGGCTGCACTAAATATTTTATTCCCTTTTATTCTACATTTTCATATGACATAAACACTAATTAAACCCCTCAATGGCTTCCTCCTTCCAAGAGAACATTTTCTCTCTGACAAGAAATCTCAGCTAAAGAATGTGCGGTTTACAGGAGACCTGCCATTAAAAACACGTGTCGATTTCACCTGGTGAAGAGCTCATTTGTTTCCACAGTCTGATTGGCAGAGATAACAGGAAGCTCTTACCACAGGCTCTCACCCACTGATGTGATGGAACCCAGTGCCTTTGCCTTGATGTGGTTTCCAAAGACAAACACCCTTAAGACTGTGACATGTCTTGTTATCTGGTGTTGCCTGGTACATTTCAAGTAAAAGTGGGAAAAAAAATGCCATGGTGTTTTGAGGGTTTTAAGGCATCTTTGCTTACATGATGATGGTGGGGTGCAGAAACTAACTCCAGGTTCAACTGAAGTCCTTCAGGTGTTTGGAATGGGTTTGCAGGTACGCTGAGGCCCAGAGAGAGCTCCTGCCCATGGGTAGGGGAGTAGAAGGGAGAGGTACCCCAGGGTTCAGTAAACTGTTAGAGATGCGAAATCTCCAGAATCTGCTAGAAAACCTTGCCATTCCATACTCATGTTTTCATGCTTCTCGTTGCAGGGGAACACTTAAGAATCTGTCCTCAGGAATACACGTGCTGCACCACAGAAATGGAAGACAAGCTGAGCCAGCAGAGCAAACTAGAATTTGAGAACCTCGTGGAAGAGACCAGCCATTTTGTGCGGACCACTTTTGTGTCGAGGCACAAGAAGTTTGATGGTAGGTGAAACGGTTTGGCTTCACTTAGTTTTTCTCAGAGAAAAGGTGTGCTTTTCTGTGAGAATCATGCTGTTTTATGAAAAGTTTTTTTTTTTTTTTTTTTTTCCTAGAAGGAGATTTTCATTCCCTCTTAAACATTTATAGTATTGTCTATTTTTAGGAAAAGCATGAACTTTCTTGACAATGTGTGATTTTTTACAATAGAATCTTGGAAAAAAAATCTGATTTACCCAAAAGCCATTTTGCATTTGTGCTTTGCCTATAAAATTTATTCTGAAAGATTTGGCTCAACTTTTCCTTTTTAGGGTGAATCTAAACCAAATTTTGTCACTGGGGCTTGTCTTCTACTTTCGTATGGGGATATTCATTTTTTTAAAATTGTGTCAGTTAAGATTACTTGATATATCACATCCCTTCTAAGAAGACAGACTCGTCTTAGCTCCCAGTGACATGGACTCCTTTATTTTAGAGTTTGCTGTTGTGATAACACATCTTACCTGGTACTTGTGACACATTCTACGTAAGATTTAGATCTTCCTTCTCTTTCCTGTTTATAAACAATCTACTTCATTTCTTTGTTCTATTGGTTTCATAAATATTTTTGGATTCAAAAGCACAAAGACCAAAAGCAATTATTACTGAGTTTCAGCACCGAATTTTCTCATCAGAGCCTCAGAGAAGTAATCAAATGCAATCTGATTTTTAAAAGCAATGTTAATAGTGATAGCAATAAGGTTAAATATTTTTGGATGGTGCAGTTTTTTAGGGCTCCAAGAAGCGAATGTACCTTTCTATGATTGTAAATCAGGTTTGTGAACGGTGGCAAGCCTGCCTTATGTCCCCTCCAACATGCCACATTGCCCTAGGGCAAAAGAGCTACTGCTCATTTTCTTTACCCTGTTCAGTTATGTACAGCAGAGCCATCTTGGGAAAGCTTACAAAGTCTTTTCTGTGTCGTAGGACAAATGTTCTACTTCATTGCCGCTTTAAACTATTATGGTGACACTGATTTCTTTCAAATTAATCCTCCAAGTTAGAAAAGACTTGGTCACCCGTGTTTTCGGTTCTCATGATGATATGACATATTCCATGTACGTGACTAGGACTTCATCTTTTCTGCAAGTATGTTTCAATGTCTTCATATTCCTTCTTTTTCTCTTGCTCTGTTTATAACTTTTTCTGGGGGTATATAAGAAAACAATTCCTTATTTAGCAGCCATGCCATGCAGGTTGTTCCCTCGAATACAACTGGGGAGTAAAAAAAGTTTGCCCTTGACTGACAGATTACAAATCTAGTTGCATTCAGGGACTCTGTGTTTCGGGGACGACAATCTATCATTTCAAATTGAGGCAAATTGAGACATCTAGTTATTTGTTACAAAAGCAGGTGAAGTGATCTGCTGTTACTGATTTTTATCTGTGTCGTTGGAAAACATAGTGCCTTCCCAAAGTTCTGCTCCTGGTGATGCTAAAATAAATCAAGGGCAGTATCCGAAATTGATCATTTATATTTCTTTTAAGAAAAATATTAAATGTTATGTAGTTTTATGGTGAGAGGTTTTTTTTTTTTTTTGATAAGTAAAGCTATTCAAGAAGACTGAACCCCATACTTCTGAGATTATCATATGAGTAGCTTTTAATATCTTTGGGTCTACACAATTTAATCCCAGACCTCATTTGTCTTTGTTTTATTAAAGAAGTCTCAGTCTCTCCCCCACCACTCTCTCTCTCCCTCTCCCAGGTGTGGTTCAAATTGTTCTCATGTACTTAAGGGTGTGATGTCAATCAGTTTGACAGGACATTGATTTTGCTCAGATTAGATCTGACACGGGGTGATGAATTCTTTAGCTACAGTTTTATGAGGCTGCCATGAGGGAGAAGTTAAGATTTTTTTTCCCCTCTTGGCAAAATTTCATCCAGACTTTACCAAAAAAAAATTTTAAAAATGATTGTTTTCATCTCTTAGAGCCCATTCTTAACAATATTATCATTATCATCCTCAATTTAAAAAGTCATCATAGTATTTTCTGCCTTTTTTTTCCCCAGTCCAGGGAATAGAACCCAGGACCTTGTACATCTCCAACCCCTCCATTGGCTTTTTACAAAAACACTTTCTCCTGGCATTTATTGATGAGTTTCAGTTCTCATGAGTACAGAAGAACTGTCTAGGATGACTTGGAGAATGCTACCTTCTGAATTTTGTTTTCTCACATGAAGCCAATGCTCCTGTAAAGGACTTTTGAGTTTCTTATTAGTAACTTCCACAGTGAGTCATTTTGCATTATTCCTGGAGTCTCTTTATCCAGAATGTTCTGTTTGAGGTTCTGCCTCAGGTGCCACTTTCTCAGAGAGATAGGTCTGTCATTTGTATATTGTACATCTTTGTGGGCTCTAAGGTACTATTGTGAAGACAACAAAAACTACTGCTTAATTTAAAATCATGAGGCACTGACTTTCCTTCCTACTTTCATTAAGTACAACAACAATTTCGACTTCCCTGATATGTGTGAGTCAGTCCATGGTACATTCAAAGAGGTTAAATCCAATCACTGGGATAATTAGTCTCCGGTGGTTGTTTTCCTTATTATATTACAATGTCTTGATTCCATTTAACTTTTTGGTTTCTGGCAGACATGATTCTCTTTTAAAATTTGAGATTCTAATATGCTTAACATAAAACCACATGCTTCTCATGGTCATATTCTTTCCCAGTTTTTAATTAATATTTTGTGTAAGATTTATCATAAGATTTATTTAGAAGATACCACTGTGTACATTTGCCAATAATTATTGGAAGGTGGGCATCTAAACCTGAATTCATAGGAACTCTTCCTCCACTTTTCGGCAATCACCAAGCTTTGCTTTGCAGTCCCATTGAGAGTAACATTTTCAGCCGATGGACAAGGAATTGAAAAAGTATATAGTGCCACTTGCAGAAATTTCATTCTTTGGTAGATAATTTTCTTATCACTGGGTACCTGTTTTTTTTCCCCTGACTATGAGGATAAAATTGAAATTTTATCAAGAGTATATATAAAATTTATGTTCTTGGCACCGGTGCTTCTCCCAGGGTCCTATGGAATTTTATTTGTTTTCTCCTTTCTCTGGCCAAATGTCTACCTGGCTGTTTATCAGTCACCCCCGTAAGCCCCTCCCCCCTTTGTCTGGGGTCCCTACAAAGTTCCCTCAGCACTTTACAGGGGTGTTCTCCACAGGCTTTGGAGCCGAGCCCCGTTTTTGGTTTGCTTCACAGGGTGTAGTGTCCTGGACAAAAAGCCAGCTCAGTGCAGCCGTAGAGTGACCACAGCTTTGTCCCCTCCCTTCTCACCTTTCCCCTGTGCCACATACCTTAGAAACCCACAAGTCCAAAAACAGCTGCAGGAAGTCACATTAAAAGGCAGACAAAGGGAAGGTCGTGTTGAGCTCCCCCTCTTTTGACTTGAATTGTGTCTTTAGGGACCTGTCAAATCGGCATTCCTGTTTCAATGCCTACCGCTTTTATGCTCCTGAGTGCTTTGTTAGGATCCCAGGACAGGGAGAACTGCTATGCTGATAGTGAGAGCAAGAAGAGAAAACACCTGGCCCAGATCCTCAGTCTTGAAGAAGCTAACCCTGTTTCTCACGGGGAGATTGTAAGGCGGTCACACAAATAGGAAGCATCAGGGTCAGGGTCCTGCCCCAGGCCCAGCACAGCAGGATCCTTGCTCTCAGCCTCCTCTACCCCATAATCTCCCCAGTGCTTTCTAGTGCTCACTTGGGCTGGCAGTTCATGGTCAGCCAGCCATCCCTCTATCTCCCCGCCTGTCCTGTCCCAGTTTTTGTGGGAAGGAAGTGGAAATGACCGTCAGAGAAAAGTGGAAGGAGATGTTTTTAATCCTTGAAAAAGAAAATTGCTCACCTAAATATAGCACAAGCCCCCAAGGAGCCTGGAGTTTGGAAAGGGAGAATGACTTGCCAATTTCCATCAAGAACAAGGGAGCCAAGAGTGTAACCTGAGACGTACATCCGTCTTATAAATAGTAATGTTATAGGAAATCAATGTTTGGTTGAAATTGTAACTCAACTTTTATTTGGGGTGGACACTGGTGAAAATGATTGACATTTCTTTAACAAGGCAATAGTGATATTGGTGGGTCAGGAATCCAGCCACATTTGAGAAAAGGTGGAAAGAGTGTTGATTGGGAAGCTGTGCCTAAATTAAAGGGGAATGCAAAAAAAAAGGTTATTGAATCAATGAAAGCCCATTGTTTATTCTCCCTACTTACAAGACATAGTGTTTTCTATCTTGATTTAGAGGCTAGCACTCTGTTTTCTAAGCATGTCTATGGAATATGGATTATTCAGAGACAGGGATATTTGCTTGAATGGATATTTTATTTTGGTTATTTTATTTTCCTTTAGATTGATTTGAGTGGAAATTTATTCACATTCGGAACTCCATATGAGGTTTTGTGTTTAGTATGTTCTTCTTCATCTTATTATTTTTCTTTTCTTCCTGGTTTTCATTTATGTATTTTAATGATATACATTTGTCCAGAGATTTTGGCAGCAAGCACATTTTTAAAAGCAAATTTTAAAAAATGAACAGTGATTTCCATCTTCATGAAGAACTTGTTCTGTTGTAACACCTCTGAATACCCATTGCCCTGAATGTGAAAATAATTTATATACAGAAGCATAATATTTTTATGCTGCAAATCTGCTTGTGTTTTCTTTTTAAATAACATTTCTCATTTCTATACTGTAGAGATGACAATAATGTAATGACTTCTTTAAAATATAGCCTAATTTTCTCAGAGAGTGCACTTATATGAAAAAGAAAAAAAAATACTAAGTACTTTTCCATAGGGTGGTAGAATCCTCCACATTTCTTGTCACATGGGTGACGTTTTGTGTACCTGCACGTGTGCTTTTTTGTTTCCATTTGAAAACCTATTTTTTTTTAGAGCCCTGTTGGTAGAAGGCACTTGGCTAATTGTGTAGCAGATGAAAAGATGACT